GACCTTCTCAAATGCAGGACCGGACAGAATCGTCAGGAGCATCACACACATTGTTTCCTTGATGATCATCTCATTGTCCGCAGAGGACAGTGTTTCAACATGTGGGTTGATCTGTGCCGTCCTTTCAATCCCAGTTGTGACAAGCTTCACCTGGAGCTCAAACTAGGTTAGTTATGACCAACAGCATGTGGAAACATGCCAAGAAATAACATGAGCTGAACTAACATTTTTACCATCATTGAAATCTTTTGTTCTTCTCTGTGTTTTACAGGTCACATCCCATCCATCCGGGACGGCACTTATGTGATCGTTCCAATAGTGGAAGAATTCAAGAAAGGCTGCTGGGGGGCAAAAATTGTGGAACAAGGCCAAAACCGAATCAAACTGTGTGTCCACTCTGTTCCGACTGCTTGCGTTGGACGATACCAGCTCAGTGTCATGACACACTGTCCAGGAGGCAGATTCACTTTACCTTATGTTCCTGAAAATGACATTTACATGCTGTTCAACCCCTGGTGTAAAGGTATGTGTTTCATTATACTTTAAAATAACAACTGAAACCTAAATATGAAAATGTAATAGAATGAGGAAAGAAAGCACTATTAAAACTCCATGAAGCTTTTCCATTTAAAGTCCAATGTTCTCTTTATCAGATGACTGTGTGTACCTGAGTGATGAGGCGGAGAGAGCTGAGTATGTGCTGAATGACATGGGCAGAATCTACTATGGAACTAAGCAGCAGATTGCCTGCAAAACATGGAATTTTGGTCAAGTAAGAGCCAAAATGTCATTAATATATTACGAAAGTTCAACTGTATCTATATACATGTTTATGATATGTCAGAGACAAAGGTACCGCTATGGTTTCTGTTTTTTCCTAACCTTCCCATATCCGAGATATAATTCCACAGAAGAAGTGCACAAGATAGCATGAAGGTTGTTTCACAATCTCTAATTTTTTCCCTCTCTGATCTGTGATTCTTAGTTTGAGAAGGGAATCTTGCCTGCATGTATGTATGTGCTGGAGAAGAGCTGTACACCTTGCTCAGGGTGGGGAAGCCCCAGTAACATTTCCAGAGTGGTATCTGACACGGTGAGTCTTCATTTCCTTCTTATCAACACCCTGATTTCATGTTGGAAAGCTTTTAAAAATGGTCAGATTTGTTCTTTTCTGAATGTGGTATTTCTGCATGAAGTTTTCTGCATTCAAATTAAAATAGCTTTAATCGTCTGTCCTTATCAGGTTATTGCTAACAAAGACTGTGGTGTGTTGGTGGGTAACTGGTCAAACTTCTATGGAGATGGAACTGCTCCTACATCCTGGTGCAGCAGCAGTGCCATCCTGAAACAGTACTACAAGTGTGGAGGAATACCTGTCAAATATGGACAGAGCTTGGCCTTTGCTGGAGTCACCAACACATGTAAGAGTTCCTGCAGAATGGACGAGCAGAAAAAGTTTTGAAAGAGTGATTATAGATGTAATGCATTTATATTCTTCTTCACTTTCTTGTAGTGTTGAGGTGTTTGGGCATTCCTGCTCGTCCAGTTTCAAACTTCTGTTCTGCTCATGACATTTGCATCAATCTAAAAAACAAATGCAGCTCCCCTCGTAGCGTCACCCTCTACAGCCAGGCTGCAGCCATGTACTACACCGGAGTCAGAAAGACCTTCCTGAAGAGAGACCAGACATGCATCGAGCTCAAGCCCTCTGAATGTGAGAAATCATAAAGTTTGAAATCAAAGAGTTGCAATACAGGATACCACCCAGTTGGCGTAATGCAGCATATGGGTAAAAAGACTTGTAATGGAAGCATGAATATTTATTCAGTGTTTGTCATTTTCCCCACAATAGGCAAACCTCTGGAATGGACCCTGAGTTGTGACGAGTATAAGGAACACCTGGTGGATCACACCTCACTGATGCTCAATCTCTTTGGACACGTGGCTCAGACTAAGCAGGTTCTGGCCACCCAGTACAGCTTCAGACTGCGCACACCAGATCTTGTTATCGCTGTGAGTTTAAAGTTACAGTTCAACTGCTTAATCTTTTGATTGGTTGAAATCATTTAGTGCTAAATTGTGTCTTATATGTGGTTCTTCTCAGCCTGTATGTGATGCTGTCTTGGGACAAGAAGTGCCAGTCAAAATCACTTTCCAGAATCCACTGCCTTGTGTCCTGAAGAACACTGTATTCCGCTTTGTGGGACTTGGACTGCAGCATGCCAGAGTTGTCAACTATGGGTAAAATTATTTTAATTGCTCAATAAAATAATGAATTATTTTTGCATTATTCTATATAATTTTCAATCAATTACACTGAACAAAAATGGGGGCAAAAACAAAAGTGTTGCATTTATAATTTTGTTCAGTGTATATTAATTATGATTTAATGGCTGAACATAATGGTAAACTCAATATCTGTTGCTAAACAGTTTGTGTGATTATTTATTCTAAAAAAAAAATTTAAAAAAACTAATTTAAAATGCATATAGTAGTATAAAATAATCGTTCTTTCTTTCTTTCACAGTGACATTGCAGGGCATGCCACAGTGTGCCTGACGGAGAAGTTTATTCCCAAGTGTCATGGCCCACAGAAACTTCTGGCTTCATTCGATTGTCCTCAGCTCACTCAGGTGCATGGATTCACCAACATTGTTGTCAAACAGCACTGTTAAACCAATCAAATAACCAAAACAGATGAAACGTCATGGCTCCATTGAATAGAAAGCGCTCACACTGAATTGATTTGCAGAGTTAGATAACAGCTGTTAGTTTCTCTTAACCTACAAGCTGTAAACATTAAACTTCTCACAATGCATTTAATCATGATGTAGGACAACTGCACTAATGCTTTATACAAGACAATGTTGTCTTTTCATCTTTTCTGATTTTTTAGTAGTCTTTTGGGAATTGGCATTTATGAGTTTGAAAGATTATAAATGTAATTCTGAATAGTCATTAACCTTGTTGCTCATTTGAAAACTCAAGTAATTGTATCATGGTGTTGGTTACTCTGTCCGGTGTAGCTTCAGCTTCAAATAAAATATTTCCAGCATACTAAACTGTGTCAGTTTGTGATATTGAGAGGGATCTATTTAAATGAGGCTTTATTCCTCTTGTCGTTTAAAATTAGTAATACATTCTTGTCTTATATACTTTCCAGAACATAGAATTTTATATACACATATATCCAAACTTTTGCAGACTGCTTGTTTCAAAAACCTCAGAACATTAATATAGACCAGTGGTCGCCAACCCAACCTACTTTATCACTGTCCCAGTAGCTCCCGGCAATAACAGAAAAAGTGTTGGAGCCATAATGCGCTGCAGATGTGTGCAGTGTAAATAAGGGGTTATCCAAGTGAAAACGGCCAAGTACGCCAAGTGACCTGTAAATGCGACAAAACTGTTTCCATTGCAGTTTTGCAAAATATTCCTTTCTCAAAAAGCCTGAAAAATCACCTCATGCAAGTGTACTAATTTAGATATATGGGAGTTTTGCAAAATTTACATGTTTCCATTGGGCGCATTTTCAATTTGCAATTTTAATTTGCGCAGCTTGAAGGGTAATGGAAACGCGCTGTCGGGATAAGAAATAGAAGGAAGAATTGTCGGGTCGTCAGTCCACGACAATGGAGCCAACTCATACAGATCTTTACCACCAATTAACTTTAGTTATGATTTAGCAGCTTCCACATGTTTTTTCCGTGGTTTAGACAGAGATTATCTTACTATAGGGAGATGAGAGGGTCTGTATTACTTACTACTGGAGAAAGCGTAACGGCTAACTTGGATAACGTGTGCCGTAATAACCAAAGTACAGCCTTGATGTCATTGAATTTCAGTCAGAGCTGTGCGACACTCAGTCACCGTTTACGGATTCCATAAGAAAGAATGAGAAATGCGACCAACGATGCCCTCAGCGAAGCTGTATCAGTATCAGTTCCCACAGAAGCGATCTTACTTAACACGCTGGGCAAGTATGAATGAAAGAAGTAGGTTGAGCCGCGGCGTCCACGTGGAAGTTTGAGATTTTGTGCATCAAGGAGCGGTCGTGGCAGAGCGGAAACAAAATGTTGCTGTTGTGCAGTAATGAATGAAGACTCAGAGGAATCGTTAATGGAGAACAGCATAGTATTTACGGAGGTATCACCAAGAAAGAAAAATAAAAAACGCAAGAAAATTAATAAGGAGCAGGAAGATGGTAACGTAAGAATTTTAGGTATTCAAGATACATTTAAAGAAAAGCCCAAAACACATCAGCAAATTTCTAGAGAAGATCAAGGTCAGAATCATGAAGATGATGGATTTAAAGTTATGATGACATTTGAAAAGATTTCAGGGAAACATTTGCATCCCATAGGATTATCCAAAGCGATAGACAAAACAGTTGGGGCAGTTGTCTTAGCTAAATGCTTGGGACAAGGGAGAGTTTTGATAATAGTGAAGGATGTTGGACAAAAAAACGAATTACTTAATATGAAAGAAATGAACGGAGAAAAGATCACTGCTAAAGAAATTGGAGTAAATACGTATGAAAAGGGAGTAATATATGGAATTCCAACATATATAACCTCTGATGAAATCCAAGAAAACATTAAGGGAGGTAAAATAGTTAACGTAAAGAGACTGTATAAGAATAAAGATGGACAACGATGGACAAGTGTTTTGTTAACTTTTGACGGAAAAATGTCGGAAAAAGTACAAATGGGATATATAAGCTATCCAGTGAGAGTATATGTTCCAATGCCTTTGAGGTGTTTTAAATGCCAACGAATGGGACATGTGGCGGCGGTATGTAAAGGGAAATTAAGGTGTGTCAAATGTGGGGGAGAACATGATTATGACAAATGTTCAGAGACAAATGGTATAAAATGCTGTAACTGTGGCGGTCCACATAGCGCAGCATATGGAGGATGTGAGGTACAAGTTAAAGCAAGAGAAATCCAGAAATACAAGGCTGTGCATAATGTTACCGATGCTGAAGCAGTGAAGGTATGTAGCAAGGACAGGAGGAAAGAGACTAGTGGAAAAACCAAACAAGATTCAAGGAGCATACAAAAAGAAGGAACAAAAGAGTTACAATGTAAACATCAGTGTGTCCTAAAAGAGAATTCTTTAATAATGACAAAAGAGAACTTTTTAGCCTTTATTGTCAAGGTGATTAATGTAACAGCTATGTTGCCAAGTAGATCAGCCAAGATCAAGACAATCCTAGAAGCTGCATCAGAGTTTCTAGGTATCTATGGAATTTCAGCAAACATGATTCATGATATCCTCACTCGAGCAGCTTCAGTAGAAACTTCCCAGGTATCTGAATAGATATATGGGGATAAGCTTTATGCAGTGGGCTGCAAGGAGCCTTGTAGCAAATGGACGAGAGTTTAAAAAGTTTGTTTTAGATTTAGAATATAAACCAAATGTTATTTGTGTTCAAGAATCATGGCTCAAGCCAAATCTTCGATTTGTATTACCAGAATATAGTTCTGTCTGGAAAGATGGAGAGGGGTCACCAGGGGGTGGAGTAGTTACTTTTTTAAAAGAAGGAACTGTATATAGGGAAATAACAGAGGTAATGGATATAGAATGTGTGGCGGTGGAATTGTTTTATCAAGAAGAATCAATTGTTATATATAAGTTTTATAATCCATGTAAAAAGATTTCTCTAAATTTGCTTGAAAGAATAAAAAAAGGAATAAGGAATTATGGTGTCGTGATTTTAACGCACACAATTGGTTATGGGGGAGTAAAACATTGATCACAATGGGGAAATAATAGAACAATTTATGTATAATAGGTCATTAGTATGCTTAAACACAGGAGAAGGTACAAGGTTTAACTTAGAAGGAAATACGTTATCATGTATAGATCTAACTTTAATTTCAACTGGAATGGATGAAAAGTGTGAATTGAAAGTATATAGTGAGAGTAATATTGGAAGCGATAATTTTCCAATTTTTTGTAAATTAAATGTAAATAGTAATAGGGAGTGCTTATTGCAATGGAAATGGAGGTATGAGAAATCAGATTGGAATTCATTTAACAAACATTGTGAAGTATATAAAGACAGGGTGGTGGAAGAAATGGTAGAAACATTTTGTAAATCTTTTTCAGATTTAATAATGGAAGCTGCAACTTTATATATTCCTCAAAGAGCTGCGGGTCAGAGGAATAAAAGTATTCCCTGGTGGAAAGAAGATTGTAGTATAGCAATAAAAGAAAGAAATAATGCTTTTAATCAACTAAGGAAAAACATGAGTATGAGTAATATGATAACTTATAAAAGGGCAAATGCAAGAAGAGCTAATGCAAGAAGAATAATTAAAAATGCTAAAAGGGAAGGATGGAGGGAATTTTGTTCTACTATAGGAAAAGATACTCCTTTGGACAAGATTTGGAATATTTTAAGAAATATGGCTGGAAAAGGGAAAAAGTCAAATCAAATTCCAGTATTAAATGATGGTGAAACAGTGGCAGTAACAACAGACATAAATAAAGCAAACATTTTAGGTAAGGTTTTAGAAGGTGCTCACAGAATAGAGTTGGGAGAAGAGTATGAGATAAGAAGAAGAGATATATTAAATAACAACCCAGATATAATGAGGAAGAGAGGGAATACTAATAGTTGTATGGATGTAGAGTTTACAATTACAGAACTAAGAACAGCATTACAGAAATGTGCCAATAGTGCTCCTGGATGCGATAGAGTAAGTTATATAATGCTAAAGCATTTGCCAGACTCTGTTTTATTAGTATTACTTAGACTGTATAATAAAATATGGCCAGAATGAATACTTCCAAAAATATGGAAGAGAGCTATAGTTATACCAATAGTTAAACCAGGCAAAAATCCAACAAATCCAGGAAGTTATAGACCAATTGCATTAACGTCAAACTTATGTAAATTAATGGAGAAAGTTATTGTCCAAAGATTATCCTATGAACTAGAAAGAAAGGGCAAATTATGTAAATATCAGTCTGGATTTAGAAGTAAAAGATCAACAGTAGATGCATTAATTAAGATTAGTAATGAAATAGAAAAGACTCTTAAAATGAAAGAGATTATGGCAGTAGTGTACTTTGACATAGAAAAGGCATATGACACATTATAGAGAGAAAGACTGTTAATTAAAGCAGCAAGGATAGGAATAGATGGTTATATGTATAATTGGCTGTTACAGTTTTTATTTAAAAGAACCTTTGTAGTTCAAGTTGGATTAGGTCAATCTTCGACTTTTGAAGCTGAAAATGGTATCCCACAAGGGAGTGTTGTCAGTCCAATTCTTTTTAATATTATGATTAATGATATTTTTGACAACTTAGGATATGGTGTGGGGTGTGCTCTATATGCTGATGATGGCGCTATTTGGAAGAGAGGTCGAAATGTATCTCACGTGACTGCAAGTATGCAAACAGCTATTAAAAATGTGGAAAAATGGACTATAGAGTGGAGTTTTAAAATGTCAACAAGTAAATCATGTTTTATGTTCTTTAGTAGGAAAAGGAAAGTTCCAACAGACACTGAGTTGGTATTATATGCTAAACCTTTAGAAAGAGTTAATGTTTTTAAGTAGCTGGGAATTTGGTTAGATGAAAGTTATACTTAGAAGAAACATACTAAAGAAACAGATAAAAATGCAGGAAAATTTTAAATGTGATGAGATCAGTTGCTGGAAAAGAGTGGGGAGCAGATAGAGAAACTATGTTAACAATATATCAAGCCCTGATTAGATCTATACTTGACTATGGATGTATGGTGTATGATGCAGCATCAGCAACATTGTTAAGGCGATTAGATAGAATACAATACAGAGCACTCGGGATATGTCTAGGA